TTTCCGGTTTCAGGGGGTTTCGGGGCTTATGTAGGGGATTTCGGGTTTAGGGTTCAGGGTTTAGGGGCTTAGGGGGTTTAGGGTTTAGGGTTCAGGGTTTAGGGTTTAGGGGCTTAGGGGGTTTAGGGTTCAGGGGTTTAGGGGTTTAGGGGTTTAGGGGTTTAGGGTTTTAGGGGTTTAGGGTTTAGACGTTTAGAGGTTTCGGGTTTAGGGTTTAGGGTTTAGGATTTAGGATTTAGGGTTTAGGGTTTAGGGTTGAGGGTTTAGGGTCACGCTTCCGAGGCTTTGGAGGCAGAGTTACTCTTACAAGTCAGAAATTAGATAGGGAAGAACAGTGAAGAACGTGTATGTATATATTTACTCTATATTTACGAGTTAATTTCTACATATACATATGGACACATGGTTAGGCGGTGATTCTGATTTAGAGCCCCGATGTAGGACTACAGTGTGGGGCTCTCGGACTCCCGGTCCTGCTTCTGAGGGCTTGTGCAATGTTCGGGTGTACCGTAGTCTACTGATGTACTATAGTATAATATTGGCATACTTTACTACATGTCGTATCTTCTAGTCCAATCTGGTAATTCTGGTGTATTTACGTATATTAGAGCTCAAGGATCACAGCAGGCTCCGCCAGCCGAGCCTTTTCAAAGCAGCGCAGGGCCGAGACGATCATGGCTTCCCAGGCACTCCTGTGCTTCTTCAGATGACAGTGCACATGAGCATGAAGACATCTGTTCAAACCACCTTAGCAACCCGGCGTGTAGGAGTTTGTGTGCATATAGACACGCATGCGTGCATGCAGAAATACTATTTCAGTTGTCCAGATGTGTGAACTGTGGTACGAGTATATGCGATACTGTCTATAACCTGCTACATCTTGGTACAAGTACCACAAAGCTGCCGTTCTCCCGACATGTGTCACCATTCGGCGACAAACACACACACCCACACAAACACGCGCACACACACACACACGTGTATACATTCTCTTTGCACGTATGTATGTATCTACTTATCTATCCATCTATCTGTTTATCTATATTTCCACAGAGAGAGAGAGAGAGACAGCTGCGGCAATAAAAGCACAGCTGTTGGAGTGCGTGACAATCTTTACTTGGTACACAGCAGCATCTGTGAGCATACTAGCATTGACAAGGCATACAAGAAAATCTCTTCATCTTTAGACGAAACAATCTTCAAAAGGAGCTGTGCTACACAGCAACAGATGGGATCATAGAGAAACTGACAGCCGCCTTCTGCTGCAATCATGCATATGTTGAAATGCGAGCTGTCTACTGCTTCAAAAGTGATAACCATGTGCGTGGCACAGTGTGTGTGTGTACTTTTCACAGGAAATGGCATGCCATAACGCAGGAGAGTGCACCAGCGTGTTTTCAGAATGAAGCATGCCACAACGCAGTCGCAATCTCAGAAGACTCAAACACTAAGACCATGTATTCGAAAACACGCACCGAACAAGAAAAATGCGCTTACATAAATCTGAGCCGAACCCAGAACCCTGCCCCACGTGGCCTCTCTATCTTGCTAGTCAACCTTCGGGCGGACATCTCCTCCAGGAACCTCCGCACACTTCTGGGGTCGAGGAAGATCATGATATGTAGGGTGTGGCATAGCATTTTATAGGATATTTTGTATAATATACTATACTGTACTATATTGAAGGCTTTCGGGCACTTAGCTTGAACCGGTATCTCTGCTGCTATCTGTCGGACGCCTATCGCTGGTCACCTGTTGTTTGTTGGAGGTCGTGGAACGTGTTCTGCTTTATAGGTTGTCTTTTGTCCTACTGGTTGCAATCACAACCGCTCTGAGCATCTTGGTACCTTGGTATCTTGAGCAAACCCTACCTAAACCCTAAACCTTAAACCCTAAACCCTAAACCCTGACCGAGAGCCCGTCTCGCTGGTCTCTTCAGCGCGCCCGGCGACTGCCGCTCCCCGAATCATCGCAGCATAGATAGGGAAGGTGGGCCTCAGAGTCTGGCCATGGTCGATTGATCAGTTTACAAGCGGTCCCCACGTGAACGGTTAAGGGTCTAGGGTTCGAACTAGGTTTTCGGGTTTAGGGTGAAGCACTTCGAGTTTGAGGTCTCCTGAAGACATCCCCGAAAGCCTCAAGTGATACTGCGTTCGGCAGCGTAGCTAGGCGCCATCGACAGCTGAGCCGGCTGCTTCACCTCCATGCTGAGCATTTCCTTGAACCTGTCCAACTGCTCTAGCGGACTCTAGCGGAGCTGCACTTTCACTTCATTCTGGCACGACGAATAGAAACAATTCTGTGTGCTGAAGTGTGTTGAAGACGCTACGTCACTCACACGCCCATATCGAGACAGCAATGCATACCAGACCTATAACACCAATCCGAAGACGTTAAAAACAAACAGTGCATGGGTTCAAATTCGCGGGATTCGCTGGACAATGCTTGGAAGGCAAGCTTTCCAACTAGCATGCGACGCGCTGTCTCCATCCAGGAGCCTTAAGCACAGGAACTAAGGTCTAGGGCTCGGGATTTACGATGTAGGGCTCTTGCGACACTGCAATCGCCATGGCTATAAGCATACGCCCGAACCGCAACGTCAAACCCAAATCCCAAGCCCCCCAAAACTTCAACAACTGCACCCGAAAGCCTGGACGATGAAGCTCCACAATCCGTATGGTGCAAACTCGACCTTCGAAACCTATGAGAGACCTCGTACCTTCCTAAACCCCGAGTCAAAGGCCGAGCGAACCGATTCAGCTCAGCGTAGCCCTAAAACTTTGAGCCGGTAGACAATGGAGCCTGAAACCCCGAGCCCGAAGCACCTCCGCCCCGCCATCTAAATATTTATGTGTATATATATATATATATATGTACAGCTACATATTTATCTATTTATCTAAGTATGTATTTATTTACTGATTTATTTACTTATCTATCAACTTATCTATTTAGACGATTAGAAAACCCTTCAAGATCCAATCGTAAAAACCCCGAAGCAGACAGGGTTGCACCGATTTATTCGGCTACGGGGGATGCGTGTACCTTTGCACTTTGGTGTTTAGGGCCGTATTGGGTTCAAGAAAGCATCAGAGTTGAATCGGCTCGCTTTGTTTTAAGCACCCATTGCAAGCCCATTGACGCCTGTACAATCGGCTACTCACCTGATAACAGCGCCAAGCCCAATGCAAAAGCCCTTGTCGAAACCCTAAACCCCTAAACCCTAAGCCCGAAACCCTAAACCCAAAACCCTAAACCCGAAACCCAAAACCCTAAACCCTCTGAAAATGTTCAGGGTCTGACCAGGCTCTTGCGCGGTCGAAGTCGAGGCGCCGAGCCTGAGCACACGAATGCAACTGTACTTCTGCAATGATATGTAGGGTGTAGTATTGCATATTATAGTATATTTATTTGATAGTATACTATTGTAGTATATTGTAGTACCTTTACCATCGAGCGAAAGAGAGGGAGAGAAGGAGTGAATTGACAGGCCCTGGGCCTTGGGTTTTGCCTGAATGCCTGTCTTCTGGATCTATGCTGTGTCTTCGCTATACGTGCGTATAAGTATATATATATATATATGTATATATGTACATACATATATACGCAGGCGTGCATGCATACACACGCACATGTACAAAGACATATACAATAGACGCACCTATAAGCAAAGACATACATTTTTGTGCATATGTACATATACACATCTACATCTACACATGCATGTTTATGTACATCTAGACTAGAATCTAGATAGATAGATATATATATATACACATACGTATACGTATACATGCACGCACGTCTGCATATGCATGCACGTGTACATGGATGTGCACGGGCCCACTTACATACATGTACGTAGACATATGCGTACATATAGATACATAAATATATATATATATATACAAATATACAAATATACATACAAATATACATATATATATATATACATACATACATACACACATACATCCATCACATCACACCACATCACATCACATCAAATCACACCGCACCGCATCACATCACATCACATCACATGACATTACATTACATGACATTAAATACATACATACATGCACACATATGCAATCGTATACGTACATACATACATACATACATACATACATACATACATACATACGTACATACACATATATATATATATGTGCATACATATACATATACAGTTACGTATGCAATGAACTACATATCTGTATATATATATATATTATTTGAAATTAAACAGATACACATACCTTTCAACAGCGCTGAATGCGTGCCGACATACATTACGTGTGTAACATGTATCTCTGCGCGTGTGTGAACACAAATCGCTAGATATACAAGTGCCGATCTGCCAGCAATCTCTCTTTGCGTGCGTGCTTCTCACCTTTTTCGTTGGTGGAGCCGTTCGTCTGTTGATATGTATATCTGCGTCCGCGAGTATACTAGATCCGCATGTGTATGTGTACACATATCCACACATTACAAAGCTGTTTTGCATAGTCTTGCTGCACACGCCTGCCTGAATCTGTGCATGTAGCTAAGTGTGCGTGTGCATGTGTGTGCCTACAAGCTAAAAAGGCGAGGCTTGACTGACAAGCGATGAAACCTATATGAAGCAGACGTCAATGAAGCCCAAATCCCAAACCCTGAATCCTAAACTCCCAATCCCTGAAGCGACTAAGCTTAGTCGCAAGTTGCTTGAATACAGAAACCGGAATATTTAGTGATGTTAGTATCTTCTTTCCGTCCATATACAGTTTTATTTGCAATTTGTCCGACCAAGCCTGTTCTAGTTCTTAGTTAAGGCTCCCATAGTAGACAGAGTCCCGGACGTGGCATTGGATGAGGAAGAGGAATGTCCTGAAGTTTGTAGGTGGCGGTGCCGTGTGGGCTATCTGAAGACTTTATTAATCGGATGTTACAGGGGCCCCATTTCCATTGCGGCTTTGTAAGGATGTGTAGGATGTAGGATTTAGGCTAAGAGGTCAATCAGTCAGGGCTATTTAAGGTTTGGGCACCGGGGACACGCGGTGTGCGGCTTCTCGACGAGACGACCGTCTCCAACTCTAAATCCTCAAAGCCCCACTCCAAAGCCCTAGACCCTACACCCCACAAGCTCCATCATCCGAAAGCCCTGAACCTCGGCTTGAAGCACTGCAGAAATCGGGGGCGCGCACTTCTCATCGGGATACCTGCCAGCCACTGTGAGCCTGGCAGGGTGTAGAACTGAGGGCTTAGGGCTCAGAGGACACCGGGGGTCAAAGTTTGCGGGCTTGTAATATAGTAGCCTTACTAATTAGAATGGGGTTTTGGGGGTATATTCTACTAAAACTCTAATACAATATTTAGGCCCCTATATACTATAACTACAACAAAAAATATTTAGGCCCCTATAGTGGGTTTGAGGTTTAGGGTCTGGGCTTTCGGCCTTCTTCGGGCCTTGCCTATGGGGTTTTGAGCTTTCCAGCTCTCTCAAGCCTTGAGGTTTTGTGTCTTTGATTGAGGCATGGGGTGTTTTAGGGTTTAGGGTTTAGGGTTTAGGGTCCGCAATTACAAAGCCTCCACAGTAGAAGCCAGAAAGTTGAAACTGGAATATCATGATCCTCATGCCCCGAAGGTAAAGTACCCTAAACCCTAAACCCTAAACCCTAAACCCTAAACCCTAAACCCTAAACCCTAAACCCTAGAAGGGATTCGGGCACGAATCCTCCGAAATCCATGTGCCAACCTTCTCGGGTTTGCTGTACTGCTGCTAGGCTTTAGCCCCTCGGGCCTCAAGGCCTCGAGGGGTTTGGGATGTAGACTTGCGGTTTAGGGTTTAGGGTTTAGGGTTTAGGGTTTAGGGGTTTAGGGGTTAGGGGTTAGGGTTTAGGGTGCAAGCTACAGAACCAGACAACCTAAACCTAAACCTGAAGCCACAAGCCCAAACCCTGAAGCCCGAAACTTAGACTGTGGCATGATGTAGTATACTGCAATGTACTACAGCATACTACAACAAAGACTCTCAACCGAAAGGATGAAGCCTCCGCCCCCCGATTCCCTTTTTGAACCAGGTAAGGCCCTCATAGGATTCAGGGCTAAGGGGATAGAGGAAACCGATCCCGGAGTCGAAACCCTAAAGCCTTCGAATCCTTACGAAAGGAAAATGGCCGTTTTGCACAAAGACTTGCCTCTTGTACATTTCCTCGGCCGAGGCCGCATCACCAGCTTCAGCGAAAGCTCTGATGGCCTCTGGGAAGAGCCCGGGAAATTCGTGAAGAGGCTTAGGGCATGATAAGTCTCTTCATGAGGGTTCTATGAGGGCTTTCGGGCCTAGGGATTTAGGGCTCAATAGCTTAAGCGGCAGGTGTGGTACTCCGGGTTCAGAACATTCGTAACCAATGAAGGGGGCTGATTCTTCCATCTTGCACCTTTCTTATAGCCTACTTACTGTAGTAGGAGCCTTAAAAAACAAAATAGGGTTTTGGGGCCCATGATACTATAATTAGAAGAAGGAACCCCTAAAACTAATATAGGTCATTCTTAAGGCCCCTATATTACCAATGCTCTGAGCCCTCTGCTGGCGCAGTGGAGGTCTGACTGTTCGGACCGGGGGTGTGGAGTTGGACTACTTAGGGTTTGCGGTGCAGGCTGCCGGCTTGGCCCAGAGCCTCCTAGGATCGTCAGGGCTCTCATAGGATTCTGAGGGACCCTAAACCCTAAACCCTAAGTCTCCGGAAGATCTCGGAAAAACTATGCGTGAAGGTCGTCTGCTCCACTGAAGTTGCCTTGATGGCCATGTGCACCCCCCGCTCCAGCAGGCATCAGTGATGCGGCTCGAGCGTTTAGGATGTTGGGTTTAGGGTTTTGTTTTTGAGGGTTTAGGGTTTAGGGTTTTGGGTTTAGGGTTTAGGGTTTAGGGTTTAGGGTTTAGGGTTTAGGTTTGAGGGTTTTAGGGTTTTGGGTTTTGGGCTTTGGGGCCTGAGCATCCCGCGATGTTGTAGGATCCGGCATTGGGAGTCAGCCCCTCCAATACGGCCCAGTCGAGAATTTGCCTCAGACCGGCGGCCCTAGACCCTAATATAGTACCCTAAACAGTAGGATCCTTATTATAAGGACCCCAAAATAAGGTACCCTAATTTTCAGGCAGCGCTTGAGTCCTTGAGCATTCAGGGGGTTGAGGGCCTGAAGTTTAAACTGTGAAGCCTTGTGCCCTCAACCCCCCTTTAGTCCTGATGCACTGCACTGAAGGGCACAGGTGGCCCAGGGGCCACAAGTGTAAACACAACGGTGAAGACGACGGTCTCCTGATTCGCCCTGCAGGCATCCTGCTTGTGGACCCTGCGGCATCAGCTATAGGATATAGATAGAAAGGTAGATAGGTAGGTATATAGATAAACAAGCAGGACAGATAGATAGATAGATAGATAGATAGATAGATAGGTAGATAGATAGATAGATAGATAGAAAGATAGATATATAGATAGATAGATAGACTCGTAAATAGATTTGTACCTACAGGCTTAACTGGTTTACATGTTTACTCATGTCTTCCTTGCTGTACCTTTTTATGCACATGCATGATTCTGTTGTCCTGTCTCAATGTTGTTGTGGTGGTTGTTTCCTAACCTCGCACCCTAAGCCCTAAACCCAAACCTCACACCCTAAACCCTGAACTTTGAACCCTAAACCCTGGACCTCAAAACCTGACCCAAAATGAGCCCCAAAACCCCTAAACCGCTAAACCCCACACCCCACAAACCCTAATCTCATAATATAGTTATCCCTATCCCTAAACCCTAAACCCTAAACCCTAAACCCTCATATGGTTTCTGGCCGAGGGCCGGGCCGGACCCCGGCCGGATCCTTCGCCCTGGCGTAGCCCTGCATCAGGGCCGAGTAGGCCGACATGTGGGGTCCTCGGTGTAGGGGCTTTGGGTTTAGGGAGTTTAGGGTTTAGGGTTGTTTTTTTGCCGGACCTTTTCTCACCGCTAGGGTTTGGGGCTTAGGGCTTAGGGAGTTTAGGGTTCAGGGAGGTGCTGCGAGTGGTAAATACAAATCTTCTAAAGCAACAAAGCAAGCTGTTGGGGGGGGGGTCTTTGTATACTAATATGACGGGTGCTGCTGCAGGGATTTGGGCTTTGGGTTTGGAAGTCAAGTCCAGGGGTTGAGGCCTGCTTTGGGTAGATGACTGTGCGCTTCACAAGCCAAAACAGGCAAAACCAATATACAGCACTTTGCAACCCCTGCAAAAAAATGCTGAGAAGCAGACTGATTCCGGCGGCTGCAAGCTTTGAAAGCCACTTGCCAGCCTCGTCCTCCGTTGCTCTCTAGGGCTGGGGGCTTCCGGATTTTGGTCTTGGGCATTACACCCGCGGCCAGGACTGGTGCGGTTGCGGTAGTCGTCGTAATTGTCGCAGCCGTCGTCGTCGCGACGTCGTGTTCGTAGTCCTCGTCGTCGTTCGTCGTCGTCATCGTGGCAGCAGCACTAGGCGGAGGAGGAGGAGGAGGAGTATGAGGAGGAGGAGGAGCTGCTGTTATTGCCGTAGTCGAAGTCATAGGGGTAGCAGCATCAGCAGCAGCAGCAGCAGCAGCTGCTGCTGCTGTCGGAGTTAGCAATGACCATTGGTGGTTGGGAATTCTTGCTCGTCATTGGTTTCATGCCCTTTCGTGAAACCAAGGGAGGAGGAGCAGGAGGTGCGAAGGTCAACGATCTCATCAGGAGCCTAATGCTCACATCTTCTAAGGGTGCCCCATCGCCCGACCGAATCTTTCGATTTGGGATGCAGTCACTTGGACCCTTCAGAGTTTGGGAGTTGTGAGGCTTAGTATAGGGTTTAGGGTTTCGGGGTTTAGGGTTAAAGGTTTAGGGTTTGGGGCTTCTTAGGCTCTCAGGTGGGGAAGAGCTCCAGTCTGGGTGACCAACCGTATAGTTGGCTCGCGCGTAGGCCGCGATCATCTGGGTGTAGGTCTCCTCGCCGGCGTCCGAGGCTAAGGCCGATATGATGGTCTATATCATTTCTTATACAATACATGTTGGGTTATACTATATACACGTGTATGTATATCCATATATATATATACACATATGATGTTCATGTACCTACTTGTAAGGCGGCAACGCTCCTGAGGATGTCACGAAGCAAAGCAACGTCATCAGTTTCGGGGTTCAGCGTTTGGGCTTCGATATCCTTCCACTCTGATGCTCCTCCATGCTCATCGAGATCGCAGCTTAAGCCATCTTACGATCCCATTTCAAACAATGCTGCACAGTTGCAGTTTCAATGAGAAGTTCGCTGACTTCCGAAGATGGCAATCAAAGCCCCCTAAACCCAAAACCCTAAACCCTAAACCCAAATCCATGGAATCCACCCTGCCTCTGTCGCCGAGATGCCAGCTTCAAGCATCCTGCAAGGGGTTGATCACCCTGCATTCTTGCTTGAAGTTTAGGGCTTCAAGTCCTGTAATTACACACGAGGGTCCCTAAACCCTAAACCCTAAACCCGTTTAGGGTTTAGGGGTTAGGGTTTAGGGTTCCAACAGCTTTTGCAAAAGCTCAGCTCTGCTTAACCGCCGATGCGCGCCTGTCGAACCAAGACCGCGCCGCCAGAGCGCCCTTCTCGTTGCCCAAGGAGGCGAAGTGGCGTATCGCGGCACTTAGCGGGCAGCTCAAGGATCAGAAAACCCCTAAGGAACCCCCAAACCCCGAAACCCCTGAACACCCAAACCCAAAGCCCCTGAACCCTAAACCACCCCTCAAAACCCACACTCCCATGCTGATAACTCTTATTTTATACGACTCTATGCCCGCAAAAAGCTTTAACTTTCATGCCTGATCAAGGGGCTTGTAGCTGTCAGCGGATGCCGCCACGCCCTCCTCCTCCATCTTCTCGAGCCATGTTCCGACCTATACCATTGTTGGGGGGCTCCTTATTAAGACTGTAGTATAATATGGCTAGTTCTCTAAATTAGAGCCCCTTTTTGGGTCCCCAATAGAACGCGGCACCCTTATAAAGGAACCCCAAAAAGGGGACCCTAATCTAGAGAACCACCCATATACCCCAAAGCCCTATTCTAATCGTGAAGGCCCCTACATCCCTAAACCCTAAACCCTAAACCCTAAACCCTAAACCCTAAACCCAAAACCAGAGCCCGGTTCCGACCTGCCCCGGAAGGTCAGGGTGTTTGGGGGCCGGGCTTTGGAGCCTGCGAGGCTTAGGGTTTAGGGTTTAGGGTTTAGGGTTTAGGGTTTAGGGTTTAGGGTTTAGGGTTTAGGGTTTGGGATTTAGGGTTTAGGGATTTAGGGCTCTAGGGGTTTAGGGGTTTAGGATTTAGGGTTTAGGGTTTAAAGCTTAAGGGCTCAGGATAGGGTTTAGCATTCGGGGTTCGGTGGCCAAAGGTAGAAGAGGAAATCAAGGGAGCTAGCGTGCACAGAAACTTCGCTGAGAGGCGGAGCATCTACTGGCAGATGCGCAGTTAGTCCCAGAACATCTCTCCGGCAAAAACTAGATACAGCTCTAAGTCTCTGAAGCACACCTAACATCACGACAAGATTGCATCAGGCACTGTTGGTCAGAACCATCGCAGGCCTTCGTTGGCGATGTCCTCGCCAGACAGCGTAGGTGCAGCAGATCCCCAAAGCTAAAATTCCTAGCTGTCCGCTGAGCCCGAAGCTCTAAGCCCTAACCCGCTTCAGGGTGTCAGGCGCTCCTGATGAAGTCCAAGTAGATGCTCTCGTCGGCGGTGGTGCCGTTTCCCTTCATCCACTGGAGCCACAGCCTTTGGCAATTACACAAATGGGCCGCTGTCTGCGTTTCAACCCGACCAACGAAATCTTCTCCCGTTATACCCCTATCCTATCTAGACTGCAGTGCCACTGAATACTCCGTCATAATGACACAGGTAGTGATAAACATGACAAGCAGCATCGGAACGATCGTGTTAGAAAACCAGAGCATAATGACCAGATCTAGGAGCATGAACGTGAAGCGTGGCTCCACCGAAGACCTACATATGTCCTACACATGCTAAACCGAACGCCAGTTGGTTATGATCCGGCGGGAATTGTAGCTTGTGTCGCTGATTCATTGATACTCCTCAGGTGCGGGCTGTGCTGCATCCATGTTCTTTTCATTCAAGAAAGCCTGGATCACCTCAGCCATCCGATCAGCACTGTGCAAGATGCGAAAGAAAGGACTGCAGATATGTTGCTGCCGTTGCTATGAATATTAGTCGACTCCGCTTGCAGCTACTGTGTAACATCATCAGCACTACCACGACAGTAGCGAAGACGACGGCGACGACGGCGACTGCACTTATCACGAACTACTGTTGATGATATATTATAAGATATAAATCTTCATTACCTTTAGGACCCTAAACTATGGGAATTATGGCTTTTCCTGATTATGGGTCATTTACAGGATTTATTTCATCAACCGAACTATCCCTGGCCCTGGCGTCTCGGCTCCAAGCCGACCTGTACGCCTGGAAACTCGGCTGGTAGCCCGCTTCGAGGGAGAGCGCCACCTGCTGCGTCTTGTTGAAAGCCTTGAGCCCTAAACCCTAAACCCTAAACACTAAACCCAGAGGGACTTATGGACTCCTTGTACGGCGTGAGCACCTGGAGGGCGAGAGGGGACGAAACCCGCTGGACTCCTACAGTAGACCTTCCCATGAGGCTCGTGAGGCGCTCCGAGTTTTTGGGCTCCTTCCTGCCGGTCCGCCTTAAACTTCGAAACGCGTCTCAGAGCGGCCTGAGAGCTCGGCCCCGACTCGGTTTGGGAATGCTCCCGGACGGTCTCAGAGACCCCGAGGTGCTCCAAAGATCCCCCGGAAGCTCCCGGAGCTTCGGGAGGTTTGGCAGACTTCGACCGCCTCTCCGAGGACTCCATGAGCCTAAAGAGGTCGGCAGGGCTCGGGGCCTGGGTTTTACCAGGGGCCTGGAGGTTGAAGTCCGTGGTGGGATCTCCAGTTCCGTCTGCGTCCGCGTAGGACTCCACGATCCGGTCGAGCTCCGACAGCTCGTCTTCGTAGTTGGCCTCAGCCGGGCCGTCGGAGCCCTCCTCCATCTGCTCGAGCTCGCGGAGCCGCGAGAGAGTGGAGTCGGATCCTCGGTCCCGCGCCGGGTTCTGCCAAAACCTCCACGCGTCCTCTTCGGCGCCTCCGCTCGACTCCTTGGGAACTTCCGGCTCTGCCTCCAAGGGCTCCCGGATGTCCAGGAAGCCGTTCTCGTCCACGCGGACGCTGCACCCGTCTGGCCCCGGCCCCGAGCCCGACGCTGCAGAGTCCGCCTCCGCCTCGCCGCCTGCGAGGCGACGCCGCAGCGAGAGCTCCTGGAGCTCGCGGTCGGCGGTCCTCTGCTCCTCCTGGAGGCGCCGAAGCCGCCGGTCGACCATCTTCAGCGCATTGCCGGTGGTGCGCAGGGCGAAGTACTCGGAGGACAGCCTCCGCCCCAGAGCCAGAGGACCCAAACAATCTACGGATCAAAGCATAAACACACTTCAACATGTGTGTGTGACTACAATTGAATACAACGCAAGCCAAGCCAGGTTCGAAACCCGAATCCTAGAGCCTCGTGCGAGGCTTCACCCCTTTGTGGCCAAGAAACTGGCAAAGGACTTCATTGGTATGCACCAGCTGCCCTGGAAAGCTGGCCATGGGGCCGAAGGGCACCATCACCTCGTGGGACACCTGGGTTCTAGCTTGGGGGCCCTGAAAAGTATTTATGAATAGGTACCTTTATAGGAACCATAAGGAAAATTTTAAAGTTTCCCAAAATTGCCACCTAGACACCTTCTCTGGGAGCTCTTTGAGTACGCCACGCAGCTCTCGGTACTCCCCGCTGCGCTCCGAGATGGCCTCCGCATTCTGCCGGGCCTGCGCCAGCTGCGCGTCGAGGCGACGCAGCGCCGAGGCAAAGACCTCCCGGCGGACCCTCACCGTCCCCCCATCGCCAGCGCCACCACTGGCCATGATGACCGATCCTAATATATGGGGCCTAAATAATTATCAATATTATTTTGTGGGGGCTTCTTATTAAGATTTTGGTATAATTTTATCAGACTGGAAGCTGCCTCAGTCTTGTGTCTCAGAAGATCCAAGAGCGATCAGCAAGAAAGCATGAAAAGTCCAACGCCGTCTTTGCTACGAAACCCCGCTGATGAGCCATGAGCTGCGTTCGGGGCGTATCGCCTGCGATTCAGCACCACCGCAGCTCCTTGCTGAAGCTCAGAGATGTCCCGACGTCCATTAGCTATCAATTCTTGAATGATATTACGGGACAGATATCATACAGTATTATAACAAAACTCAACAATCAGTTTTTGCATCATGAAATGGCTGTCCGCACCAAAGCCCTGCGCACCCATGCGGCAGCGTAGTCGGCCGAGATGGTTGCACTGCTGGCAGTGGCTTTGATCACCTGCAAGACGAGGTGGTCACGGGTCCCTCACTGAAAGCTATCCAGCACCGCTCCAACGTGGTTCTGCGTGTATCTACATGTCGAGTAGTCCTGTGCAAATTGTGTTAGCGTAAAGGTGTTCTCGTGTCGCTGCAGCTTCTATGTTGGCGGTGGTAACGTTGTGAGTTGATGTGCCTCCGTATGCAAATAACTGCGCGGGAAATCTCAAAGGCAACACATGACAAACGTGCATACCCAAGTGCGTGCGCATGCGCGTGTGCGTGTGCATGTGCGTTTGCATGAGACGTGTGAGCGCGCGGGCATGGGTGTAGGTGTTGCCTGCATGTATGCACTAGGTCAGATGCTGCCTTCGCATGATAAGGACGCTCCAACTACAACGCAGGCGCTGCCTCGTTGAACTGGATCCCTCTTGCAGAAAGGCCTTGGAGCAACTTCGTTTCAGGGTGACAGTCTCGTAAGGTCAGCCAGAAGTATCCGAGAGGACCAAGCAGTCAGAGCCGTGAGAAATGCCATCAGACATAATTCACTCATCAGACACCCAGCAATGCTACTTTTCGCCGAAAATCTGCACGGTCACGAAGCTCTGATTAATGACTACCATCACCCTGATCCTCAGGGTGTTGTAAGTCTGGCTACCCTTAGCCTCTAGCCTTGACCCTACACCTCAGACCCGAAGCCCTCAACCCCCGACCAAGCGCCCAGCCGGCTTTCTTCATCCCCCGAAACCAGGCGATCGCGAGCTTAGGCTTCCCTGCCTCAGCTAGCAGAAGGGCTTTGGGTCAAGGGGTGGTTTGGGCTTCAAGGCCTGAAGGCCCTACCCTAAACCCTTAAACCCTAAACCCCTAAACCCCTAAACCCTAAACCCTTAACCCTAAACCCTAAACCGTAAGGTTGAACCCCAGAGCCCCGGGTTTCTGGGAGCCTTGGGTGCCTTGCCTTGGCGCAGCTCTTGATGACGTGGTTGTAGGACGTCGCGTCGGGTTTGGGACCCTGTCAGGGCCGCTGCTGCCCTGCAACAGCCGCAACGGAATGAAACGGGACGGCCTTCTTGATGTTGAGCATGCGATTGAGGAGCTTCTGGGCATTATCGGCGTCTTTGGCCACCTCACATGCCTGCCGGTGGGACTCTCAGAATCAAAATCTCTCAAATGGATTCAAGTCCTATGCAACCTGTTCGGTGTCGCGCGCGTGCGCGCCTTCAAGACGGTGTTCCAGTTGTTGGTGCCGGGCTCCTTGTGCGCTTTGCGCATCTTTGTCAACCTCACTATTCGCACCGCCCAAGGCATGGAGACGAGGACTGAGAGGCGACAGGGCACACCTGCGAGACCCACGCCACAGCTCCGCACGCCTCACGTTGCCATACTTGGCCGGCACCTGGGAGGTGGAGGTCTGCAAGAAGAAAACATGGCGACTACCGAGGGTGGCGCCCCGATGAGCACTGTGTAAACGTCCCTGTCAGGCTTCTTCTTTTGGCCTTCGAGGCGCTTGAGCCTCAGCTGGCATAATCAGAGAACCCAACTCTCTCATCTTCTTATTGCATATTTTGCACCAGTTTTGGCTGAGGTCGGGCACCAGAAATCCTCCCAGAAGTCCTGCAGCTCTGCGTCCCGCCTCGACTGCGCGGCCTCGCTGCAACATTCCGTCGGCATAGGGGATAATCGGAACGTGGCCCGATTGCCTCCAAGACGGCTTCGTAGCACCTGGACAGCACTGCGACATGACGCAAGAGCTTTGCGTGCCATTCGACTGGAATGCTGAGAGTGGCGCTGCAAAGTGGGCTCAAAACCGCTGTCTATCATCCTGCGGCAGAGCTTCGCAACGATGACACGGCGATCCCAGTGTCCGACACGAAGAACCGTCGCATGACCAACAAGACCAAGGCTCCTCTCCATCCATTGGGAGAGCACTTCTACCTGTCATGCTTTGCGTTTTCGGACCGTGGCATCCCGTTTGTTGCAAACAGGCTGGCTGCGCATCTCTGGCCTCACCAGACGGCAGTTCTGAAAATTTGGGGTTTGGGGGTTTGGGGGCTTCAGGCTTCGTGGGAAGACTTTGCCGAGCACGGCGCCGGCGCAAGGGCCAAGATGACGTGCACAAACGCCCTTGGTCCCGCTACGAGCAGAAACACACACAACTCCCTCAAGCTTCCAACTTTGCGCTGCCGTTCTGCTAAGTCTTGCTCTTATGACCGGTTGTGGGAGCAGCGATAATCATCTGCATGACATGGCCATCATCATCAACAACATCATCATAGTCATCACACAGTTATCACTTACCACCATCACCATCTTCAGCAGCAGCACCATTATGATCACCATCACCATCCTTTGCCACGGATACGTAGATGAATAGGTACAAGTAGATTCAGATAGATGGAACAACAAAAGTACAAGTGCAGGGCAAAAGCAAGAGGCACAAGATGAGACGTGAGATCTGCCGGACAGCTGGGGCGCTGACGCCCTGGTCATTTCTACATCTGCCTGCAGCTGGTCATAATGTCAGCGGGCGTCGTACAAATATCAATCAGGGAAAGCATATGAGATGCGTATGCATCCAGAGGAGAACTATCGCCATTAGAACCATAGTAGTGGTAACCATGGTGCTCCCCTGAGTAACCTTGCATAGGTTTTCCTTCACTGATGTACACTTTCATGATGATTCAAGCAAGTGCGCAACGCTTTCGGATCGCTTTTCGGGGAGAGCTGGATATCCAAGGAGGGTTTCGCGCAGTGTTGGCCTTTTTGCCTTTCAGGGCCTAGGGCCGTGGGGTTCTCTATGCCTTGGCCACAGCCTGCCACAATTCAGCTCTAGAAGTGTGGACATACCGGCGGGCGCGCTATCTCGAAGGCCTAGAAGCCTTGATCTCTCTGAGTTACCAGATCGGAAATGCCGAAATTCCAAGCACTCAAGCCTTAGATGATCCAGCGATCTCCCCACCTCAGCGCCTGATACCCAAAAACCCTGACCCCGTAACTCCAAAACTAACCGACAGCCCAAGCCCAAAACCGCCCTAATATAGGGGCCTTGACAATTAGAATAGGGTTTTGGTGGTCATTATAATATAATATGCCCCGCACCCTACTCTGATTTTTAATATTATTAAGGACCCTATATGAACCCCAAAATTTCAACTGAGGCAGAGCCGCGGAGAACATCTGGTTGAAGTGGGCGATCGCCTTTTCGGGCTCCTTGGCCTGCACTGGCCGGTTGAAGGCCTTTAGGGCGTTTTGTAGGGGTCTTAGGGTCTTAGGGCTTAGGGTTTAGGGTTTAGGGTTTGGGGTTCGGGGTTTAGGGTTTGGGGTTTAGGGTTTAGGGTCTTAGGGTCTTAGGGTCTTAGGGTCTGAGGGATTTGGAGTTTCAGGAATTTTGGTGCCTGGCTCTAGGGTTTAGGGTTCAGGCTTGGTTTGATGTGGGCCTTTTTTCTCTCCAAACCCTAAACCCTAAACCCTAAACCCAAAACCCTCCAACTCAGAAGAGCGACGCTGTTCGAGCCCGTCGGGCTTACAGCCCAGGGCGACCAGGACCAAGGCTTGCACCCCCAGCTCAAAAACATAATACGCGTCATAATGATAAGGGTTTAGGGTTTAGGGTTTAGGGTTTAGGGTTTAATTTCACAGGGATTCCCTGTTTCGCACGCCCCTCCTTCCCCTCCTTTTTCTCCCCCCCAAACCCCCGACCCCCCCACTCCTCTACCCCCTTCCCTCCCTCGTCTCTTGCTTGGGGCGGGCGAAGCAAGACAAACTAGCTTTAATCATTCGTGAAGTTGATGCCAAAGCCTGGGAATTCTGGGGTACTTGGTTGCAAAGCTTGATTCCGCATTCCTCTTCAACATATGGGAGATTGTAGTGCGAAGTGTAACTCGATTTTTAGAGTAACGTCTATAGAATAATGCAGGGAATGTGTCACCTTTCGCGTGGGACTATTGCTCAGAGCTGCAGCATGACAACAAACACTGACGTTAGAAAAACACATTCTGAAGCAAATGGCACTCCTACCCGCAAGACCTCACCTGTGCGACCTAAACCCTAAACCCTAAACCCTAAACCCTAAACCCTAAACCCTAAACCCTAAGCCCTAAAGCCCTAAACCCTAAACCCTAAACCCTAAACCCTAACCTACCTGCGGTCATCCGAAAAGATGCGCCTGCTTCAAGTACAGCCGGGCCGAGGCCGACGACGCGAAGCGCTTAAAATGATCCACGGAATCACAATAGTAACAACAATAACGATAATAATAGTAGGACTAAAAATAGTGATGTAGTATGATGTAGTCATGATAGCAATGATAATAATAACCATAACAACATTAATAACAGTATTGACAGTAGCAATGGAAATAGCAAAACTGGAGCCCTCAGCTAGGATCAATTCACCACTGGTTCGAAGATGTCATTATGAGGAACGAGCTGCAATACTTCGACCCGCTGCATCTGCAGACGGCTCAGCAGCTTCCGAGATTTCGGTTTAGGGTTTAGGGTTAAGCGAGCATTAAGTCAAATGTAAAGCTCTCGAAGGCTAAACCTCATGAAACCTCCCAAAAGCTTGAGCTTTGAAAGTAAGTTTTAAAATTTGCAGCTGGTAGCTTTGCGGAGTGGGCGAAAATTCGCGAAGGAAGCTACACACGTCCCGAACATCCCCATTTAGGGGTTTCCGAAAATAGGGGACCCTATTACAGTACCCTAGATAGTAGGATCCTTATTATAAGGAACCCCCAAAAAAGGTATCCATGTTTTCATAAACTCCCATTTCAAAGCTGAGGCTTTCAGAAGCTTCTGCTATGTGGAGGATGCCTCGGCCCGTCCGGCTCTCAATCTTCATGAAGAGGGCGTGCCGTGGGGGTTGAGGGTTTGGGGTTTAGGGTTTAGGGTTTTAGGGTTTAGGGTTTAGGGTTTAGGGTTTAGGGTTGAGGGTTAGGGGTTTAGGGTTTAGGGTTTAAGGTTTAGGGATACCTAGACTTGAAACCGAACACATCCGGTCTCCCCAACGACTGCAGCATAAATCTACGGGCACCGGGGGTCAGACTGCGAAAAACTGAGAACGCTTGGTCTCCGTTAGCTTGTGTAAACCTTACGGTTCAGGCTTTAAGGCTTGTGGCTTTCCAGAATCAACTGCAGGGCATTTTGTCAGATGCCTTCGCGGACGCCTCGATCAACAGGACCTCAGGGAAGGTCGCAGGTTCTCCCCTAAACCCCTAAACCCTAAGCCCCTAAGCCCCTAACCCTAAACCCTAAACCCTGAACCCTAAACCCTAAACCCTAAACCCTAAGATTCTCTCTGCGAAGCCGACGCCGACACTCCGACGCCAAGTGTGGCTGCCAGAACCCAGGCTCTTAAACGGATATGTCGTGCTCTGTCATTGTGCTGCCAGAACCGACCAGCTGACCAGGATCCGGCCAAGGACCTCCCTTTTTGAAGGCTCGGGCTTCCGATTGAGGACAAACCCTAAACCCTAAACCCCGATTAAGGACACCAGGAGTCCTGAGTCCAGAGCATAGAGCCCGGCGTCCGGCGTGAAGCCGTCCTCCCGCCTGGCAACTGCTCGGGTCCGGTAGATATAGCCTCCTCTGATCATGCTCTACCGGGTTGTTTGGAAGGAATCGGAATTATTTCGTAGGAGAGCGGCAACATGCTTGGAAATTGGAGGGCAGCATGTGAAGAAAGCTTGTGCCTTTTCTAAAGCTGCACACCACCGGACATCTGACCTAGTGCGCACCTGCTACCTGCATGGACATGCCAGGCAGACAGCTGCTGAGCCCATCCTTCCGCCATCTCTACGTTCCCAACCTTGATGCACTGACTCTGCTGCAGTCAGCCATAGGTTCAAAATAATACTGTAATATGCGATATAACACGTGCAGACTATCATATGCTATACGATGCTATATACTCGAGTATCAAAACTTAAGGCACTGTGCCGTGGCCGGGTGCCACGCAGTTGCGGCGAGGTTCACCATGTCTTTGTACATGGTGTAGCTCGGCTGCACACCAAGCGCTGGCAAGCTGCTCATGAGCCTCCACAAGAAGAAACCATGTCGTATGCCGTGGTACATTTTGGCTTTTCCGCTGTTCCAGTATACTAGAGTCGAGTAGAGTACATGAAAGTATGCGAAAGTCTTTTATGTAGTATGCTGTTATTTATTATAGTATTTTTCTAGTATATGACAGTCTATTATATAGTACATCGTAACATACTACAGTATTTTATGGCATATATCGAACTCTTAAAGTATATCAACGTACAGTTTCATATACCACAGTGACTTTAATGTAGTATAAATTCTAGCATATGATAGTATGGCATCGGACAAGAGTTACCCTACGCTTCGGCGATGCTCCTCGTCGCACCTGCCAGGTCCTTCGCTCCGTTCAAACCTCAGAAACAAACACTCCAAGATGCATCAAACGAAGGTTAGAGCTTCAGGGGTTTAGGGTTTAGGGTTTGGGGTTTAGAGTTCATCACAAGTATGCTTGACAAAGGGATTTTGGGAGTCTCTGGGCCGTGCAGACGACACACCCGCTGCTACCCGGTTACTCAGGAGGATGTCGGGCTTTCAGAATTTCAAGGCCTTGAAGTTTCGGGGTTTAGGACGTTGTGACTCCAAGGCCGTGACTGAACAAGACGATCTTGCACGTCTTCACCAGAGGCTTCCCTGCTTCGAAGAGAGACCTGCCAAACGAGGGGAAATGTTGCTTAGAGGTTTGGGCTTTGGATAGACCCGCTTGAAGGCTTAGAACGCACGGGCTTCGCCGGGCTACCACTACCACCACTGCACGACCACGACCGCGCGACCACTACCTCCACCACGACGACTACTACTACTACTTCTTCTTCTACTACTACTACTACTACTACTTCTTCTTCTACTTCTACGTCTACGTCTACGTCTACTTACTTCTACGACGACGACTGCTACTACTATTGTACTAGCTACACACCATCACCACCATCACCACCACCACACTTCGTTTCAGATGTTGCTTTTGTGGTAGTGGTAGCAGTAGCAGCAGTAGCAGTAGTTGTCGCCCGTACTAGTAGAGCACCTCACGGATTGCAAACTTTTAAGATTGATGACAAAGCTCTCACACTAATGGCCTTGATCATAACAAGAGCACGGACAACAAGGATCGCCCAAGTCTGACGGAAAGAGCGCACATGAGATAAGAAGAGTAGCAGAAAGGAAGCTGGTGGCAACCACCATTATTTAGGGTTTAGGGTTCAGGGTTTAGGGTTAAGCACAAAGAGAACTATGCAAACTGCGCTTGATACGGTAGTTGCAGTAGAACTAACCACAACAACATTTAACCAAATCATAGTCAGAACAGAAACTAATACTGGGAACCGGCAGCAAAAGCAACAGGAACAACAAGAAGAAGAGCCACTGCAGAGAGCGATAACAGCATCAGAGTCATCATAGTCATCATCATCATCTTAATCACCATCATCATCACCATCATCGTAGGCGTCGTCGTGATCATCATAGTCGTCATCGTTATAGCGAGCGTCAACTGGAAACCCAAACAAATCGGAGTCTGAGCCCCGAACTTCATCGCCCCCTCGATGTTGCCGGCGGCCAAGTGGCTACGGACCAGGAGGTCGTACGTCGACCTCAGCGGCGTTAGGAATCCTGGGAGCCGGGCATGGGCTTTCAGAGCGACATCGACATGTGTTGGTTGTCCTACTGTTCCGAATTCTCCTGGCTTGTTGACCGTTCATTGCATCTTGTGGTATTCTTGTCCACTTTTGCCCCTCAGCCGAGAAACAGGCAGCTTTTTTCGAGAAACATTCACAAAGAGCCCCGTCTAGGGTGGGGGGAGGCTGTTCCTCCCGACTAGGATCCAATATAGGAGCCGCACTCATTGCAAATGCTGCTTCCTTCATCATCCCCATATTATCTCAGGCTAAGGCTCCTACATTTGCACGTAAGAAGTCACACCAAAGTGCCTTGACTGTCCCATTCGGGCCTTCAAGGCTAGCATGGAAGGCACGCATTAACTGGAAAAGGTGCTCCACCTCCACCGCAGGATTCGCAAGATGGTTCGGAAGCATGGCTCTTCTGCGATCCGAAGCTCCAGCAACAAACTGCCTGCAAAGTAGGCAGAGGATCTACAGACGGTCGGCGGTGCCATGTTCATGACACCTCGGCTGATGCATGCTGATGCTTTTGCACGTAAAACATAACAGACCAGGTTGTGCATTGTGGGCACCATGATGAACCATGAGCGGCCATGGAGCTCGTTGTTCTTCTGCACGGCGACGGAAATTGTCTCCGCCGGGCACTCGGCCTTTTGAGAAGAAGGATACAGTTTTTCTCTTCGGGATGGGAGGAAAAACGCTGAAATCGCTTCAATTCAACTTGCAGCTAACCGCCGCCTAACGAAACCCCCGCTGCAACGACCTTCTTTCTCTAGCGTGGTCGGCGTTTCCTGAAGTCCAACGAGCTTCAGGATTTGAATTTAGGGTGGCGTCCCGGAATCCCAACACTAAACCGTCCTCCTTTTCAGCCAAAGGTCCTGGCCACCAACATGCCACAGGGCAGTCTCTGACGCATCGGGACTTGGCGGAATCTGCGTCCAGTTGGAGAAATTGTCGACCCCTGGGAAGGTCCGAGAGCTTCGGAGTCTCGCTTGCGGGGTTTCCCGGGTTTAGGGTTTAGGGTTTAGGGGGTTCTCGGGTTTCGGGATTGATGCTAAATGAAGGTGGTTTTGTCACATCGGCCCTTCCGTTTCGGTCTCGCTTGAGGCGTCTAGGATTCCGATAGGCCTGACATGCCCGCACATTCGACCCCAAGCTCCTGATCCCAGCCTGCCAGCCAAGCGAATTACGGGAAAGGGCAGGTCCTAGATGCTGCCGGCTTGCGGTGCTTCCTCATGATCTTCATCCAGATGGCCCTCGCCGGCGCAAAGCTCACTTGGGGTCTTCTTATCACGCAGGGCTCCCCCCTGTGTTTCCATTCCCATCCCCACCTCACCTGCTTTGATGCTTCCAGGGCCTGCCGGGTGCCTGCGCCCTTTTTTGAGATTTCGGGCTATAAGGCCAGAAGGAGTCTCTGGTATACTTATGACTTGTATAAGGGTTAGTGTGTAACTTGTGCAGAGTATTCTGACATACTCTCTACCCTCCAGCACAGGTCCTTTCAGTCAGGGTGTTGGATTTCGTTTCAGGCTTGGGGAGGCGCTCGATCATGAAGCAGACCGGGTTTAGGACCTCGGGTTTAGGCCGCGTTGGAGGTCAGGGCTTGTGATGCTCAGACTGCTCTCATTCTCGGTCGCCAGATGCAGGCCAGGCACTCACTGGGGCACGTCGGCCTCCGCAAGGTAGAAGATGAGGGGGGGGGTTCTGTTTCGGGGTCCTCTGGTAAGGTCTACAGTAGTTTCATTTCTGAAACTCCTAGACTTTGATAGGCTCTAAAAATGTTTCAGCTGCTCCATGCAGGGTCTTCAAATCTTTGAGCCTCCAGGGCTGACGTAAACATGCTTTATCAAGGTGGTAGGACCATTTCCTGCCCTGGAAAACCTACACTGCCTGTTCGGCAGTGCGGGGCGGCAAACCATCTGTTTCCAGTCAGTTGCATGCTTGTGGGACTCTCCGACTGTAAGGTCTTTCTGGTCTGGACATTTCCTGTCTCGAATCTCGAACAAACCCTGGTAGGACTACAAACAGCGACGACTGCTGTCGTTTGCTTGGATGAGAAGGCACAGCGGAAAGAAGACACTGATGTAGAAACATCTTGCACCCTTACCCGCGACTCCCAGAAGCCTAGTGCTACTGCTAATGCTAAACCCGCGAGCCCGGAAACGCTCAAGCCCGCAAAACTCCAAAGCCCCAAACCCTAAGAACCCCCACAGCGACCGAAAAGGATCGGGCGCCTGTGGTGCTTGTCCTCCAAGACGTGCACTTCGGAGGGCGTGAAGTTGCACTCAGCCACCTCTGAAGGGCTCGCGTCCTGGGCATTAGGCTTCAGGATGGTCTCGGCATGGGTGTGAATTCTCGAGGGATTTAAGTGGGTTCTACAAAAGGCTTCTAGGTTTTATGGAGAAAGGCTTCGGGACTTTCTGTTCTAGGGCTTTTTGGATTTCTGATATTCGGCTGGGGGATTTAAGCCTTTAGGATATGGGCTTTGAGGTTCGGGCTTTTCAACCGCTTGCTTCTAAGCCTTGACATGCCCGTGTGGGAACTCGACAAATCCAAACCGATTGTCCTGAGCACAGGCTTCAAGGTTTGATGATGTCTACGCCGGAGGGATTGATGCAATGCCGTTTGCGTTCCTGCATACTTGCTCAACCCTAAACCCTAAACCCTAAACCCTAACCTTCTGTCCACCGCCTTCGTTGAACCAAGCATGGTCACCCTGCATCTCTGCCCCGTCTGCAGGCTCATTGAAATTAGGGATACCCTTCTAGGGTCCTTAAGCTAAGTGTGGGTATTAGCCTTAGCGCTGAGCGGCTGGGCTTAGCGTCGGGGCTATGAGGTGTTGACTTATGGGAGTTCATGGACAATTTACGTTGTGAGAGTGAGGCACCGAACAAGGGGAGGTCTGTTGGCACACTCTACAGGAATCAGCCTTGTGTCACTTTGAACCTCCAGCGCAGCCCCCGTCCTGATTCTCTGGCCCCCAAAAACTACATTCGATCATTAGGTTCAACATGCTCGTCCGAAACCGGTCTGTAAGGCACGAGCCCATTGCGAGCTCACGTTGTACTCGTGGAAAACCTTCCAAACAATGGGGATGCTGCTGAGATTGCTCGATCTTCTCCTCCCCACAGTACCCGAAACTCTGGTTCCGCTTGCCACCCCGATCACGAAGAGGGAGGAGGAGCTCCATCGACTTTATTGCTTTGGGTTGCCCTGCACCCTAAACCAACCAGTTCACTACATCCGGCCGGCCTTCTGCAGATTGAAGTAGTTGTCAAGCCTCTCTCAGCGAGACACGGTGGACAGTCCAACCCTGCCTCTGTAAAAAAAACTCATCTGTAGACATACATCTGGACACATACTTACAGAAATATATATATATATATATACACTATAAACTATATATATATATATACATATAGTACAAACAAACGCGTACGTGAGTGTGTGTGTGTGTGTGCGTGTGATCCCGGTTGCGCTGGCACCCCGGTGCGACGGCGAAGTGAGGCGTTGGTGGGGGCATGGGGCTGAGACAGGGTTGTAGTCGGGGGAGGACGGGATGGGGTCAGCAAACCGAGAACCGGGGCTATATGTCTGTATGCATGTGTGTTTATGTATACATGTATGTGTCCATGTATACAGACACATATATATATATATATATATACACAGCATACATACATACATACATACATACATACATACATACTTTTTCTAGTATGTGTATATATATATATGTATACTTATACGTTTTTCTATATTCATATTTGTATTCCTATGCATGTATGTACTATACACATATGCTTTTGCACGAAGCCACAAGATCCCCCAAAGACCCAGTACAATGCAGTTGCGGAAAGGGTGCAGGTACAACTCCGTCTGGTTGACCAGGAAATTCGGAGAGAGTGTCAACCCATACCTTCCGCGCACCCGGCGGTTCAGTGCTTAGGGTTTGGAGGCTGTTCTGACAGTCCTGGTAACATTTATCGGTGTGTTGGTAGTTGTTGTCGTTTCGCTGGCGGCTGAGCTAAGGAGGCGACTACGCATCGTGAGGGCGCGTCATGGGGCCTTGTCTTCCAGTTGTTTTGTAGCGCTGACTGCCTGATATCTTGCACGCTCGCTTTTTGAGAAGCATTCGAACTTCTTCGGTGCGTGTTCGTCATCATCGACGCTAGACCCCTTTCTGCTGTTGCAGAGTCATTGAAATGTCAATAATCAAGCGCGAATTGATCCACGAAAGCTTCGTCCCAGCCACTCTTCCTTGTCCATGGAGAACTGGAAGGCGATAGCACCTGAAAAAAGGAAGAGGATTACAATGCACATCCTGTGATTTCGCTGAGGGTCGTTGTCTGTGCTGCAACCAATATGTCCCGCAATTATACTGAGATGTACTGAGAAGAGCAAGACATGGGGGGATCACTGCGGCACATGACATGTGCCAGACTGAAAGGAGGTCATCGTTCGAAAAGTCCAGGCTTAAGCGTTCCAGGGCTAAGGGAGAAGGCTCTCAGCAGGTTCTCCTCGAGGCCCTGGCCACTGATAATCTCACCCATGTCCTTTCCAACCAGATGCTTCACTTCGGGCCAGGTTCGGCCATCGGGGTACCTGAGCTCCGGCTTCAGGAGCCGGGCTTCACAAAGGACCGGGCTTCGGGCTTGGGGGGGTTAAGGCTCGGGGCCTACAATGTCCTGAAGTGTTTCGTTTGGGAGCAGAAAGTGGGGAGGACTCCGGGACTTTAGAGCTCATGGCTTCATGGAGCTAGGGCTAGGAGTCGGCACGTGTCATCACACCTCGGGGGGGGGGTTCAAGGCTTCTGACGTTTGTGCTCCATGGCTTCATGGTCCCGGGCTCCAAGACGTGAGGGCCCAGGGCTCCAAGACTTGAGCATCTTTGCTGCTTTCATGCTCATCGCAGCCAGGTACGGACACTTGGTCTTGAAGACACCCAGGTTGCAGCCAAACTCCGTGAAGAGCATAGGAACCTGGATGGAGCGTTAGAGAAAACTCAGGTTGAAACAGATTCGTACTGTAGCAAATCCCATGGGAATTTGCTTGTCTGTCAATGTCTCTGACGATCCATCTGTCTATCTATCTATCAGTCTGCTTGTCGGCCTGTGTGCCCATTTCTCTTATTGCGATCAGTCCCATGAAAACAACCCCAAACCGTCAAACACAAACTCACCAAAATTACAGGGCTTGTCATGAATCCTAACACCCCAACCCTCAAACTGCAGCACGTGGAACTGCAAGATCTTTGAAGTCCTTCTTGATCTCGTAGTACGGAGAATACCTCGGGTCCATGGACCGGGTTTCAAGGCAACACTACTGCCAGTAAGTAAGAGTCACGTAAGTAGCAGTACTCAGTACTGCTACGAGAAACCTAGTACGAGCAAACGCGCTGAAGTGATTATCACAACAAGCATGAACGACGACAGCACACGAGCCCCTTTAAGACAGCGACGCTGAATACTCGATGCCAGAGCATAAAACGACAAGAACTGCAAACCCTAGAATCAGAACCTCGGGCTCTTGAGCCTTCCCTAGGCACCCTGAAACCGTAAACCCGGCGACAAGACACTGTTTCATCAGAACCCCCCAAAACCCACATACATATCTCCATCACGAAAAACCCAACTCGACCCGAACCTCCGCATCTACCGCGGCGCTTGAAGTTGTCGGCGAGCCCATCACCGGGATAGGTCTGCAAGGGTCCCAAACAGCGAAGACCCCGAGACTCCGAAATCCCGCAAACAAGGGAAATTTCAAAAAAAAAAAAAAAAAAAAGGTTTGGGGTTGAGTGATCCTTGATATGGTTTAAGCTGGAGCCGGTGCGGAGAGCTCGATTGAACGGTGCCTTTCCGTAGTAGTCAAAACATGCACACATCCGCATGCGTACACATATACAGATACATATACATA